TTCTTATCACAAAGAACTTACATGCATGCACAAGCAGCTGTAATAGGTCTGTGTTTTGTGAAGGAAGGCTTCTTTTTCATACCTTCCACTGAAATAAAACTTTAGTGCATAATAAATGATTATTCAGTACCAAACTGCTATAGTCAGTTAATGATCCAACGTGTCAACTAACTACTTATGATCTGACATTGTGAACTGTCAGACCTATAACCGGGGAAGGAGTCAACTATCTATCTCAATATTTGCCCTAGGTATTTATCCTAGTAAGAAAAAAAAACAGCCATTCAGGTAGCAGTGTCAGAAATGTAGGCAAGAACAGAATCGTTGTAGGCTGTGCAGATGGAGCAGTTTTTTTAGACTTTGCATAGGGATTGGTCCTAGATAGCCATCTGGACTCACTCCAAAGAACAGGAGAAACAGAAGCCATTCTGTCAGGGGAAGTGGGTCCACCTATTTATGAGACAGACCAAAGAAAATGGTTAGCTCGTCTCTATTAATATTCATAAATATAGCACACCTTTTGTAAAATCAACAACAGAGTTACAAAAATCTAGCTCAGTGCAGACAACTGAAATGTTTCTCAAGTAGAAAACACTGCATAATTTATGAGAATTCAGCCATACTGTGAAATTTCAATATTTCTGTTTTAAATTGTCTGATAAGAGGTGGTGAAAAGCAAAGCTCTGGACATCCTGATTTAACAAACCCAAACCAAGTCAGCCATTCCCTAAGAGTAGCACATGTGCCTTTGGGTAAATCAATGCCAACTCATCCCCTCAGGGAACAAGCACTGACCTCTCAACTGCACAGTGTATTTGTTTTCCTATCACACTGTCATATGCTCTTTCTTTATGCTGTTCATTTCAAGGTGAAAACTGCATAACAGCAACATCACCCACTGCAGATCCTTTTGACAACAAAAAATCAGTCTCTTTCAACAGTCAGACAGTCCTAAAAGACTCCTGTAGCTGTTTCCTTCAGAGAAAATCAGCTTAAATGAATGAACGCAGATTTGTTGCACAAGAAAGGACTGAGCCTTGCACTAAGTAGGCAGAAGACAATGTAAAAATTGAACATTTGTTTTTCATTAATTAAAAAATGCCTCTACAACCTCACAGTTCATTCCTCCTCCTTTAATCTACTGTGCCCACCTTAGAGAGACATTTAATTGGATTTTTCACATCTATGTTTTAAGGAAGGGGCAGGGAATCATCACAATTTCCCTAACAAAATCTCTTAATTACCACCTGATCCCATCCATACTAGGAGACAAAGTTTTAAAACCAGCTTCTATTTTCAGGGAGCAACAGCATCTGTGTATTCATGAAGGAAGTGCTCTCGGCTTTCTGCAGCTGACAAGACACTTATATGCAAGCATTATGATTTTCTCTCAGCCTCTTCCTTTGTTCAACCCCAATTTCCCATTATAATTTGGCCCTGAATTGATTACTTTTTTCTCCATTCGATTTTATAAACACACTGTAAACAGGTGAAACAAATCACTTAGGATAATTAAAGGGTTCCAACTGTGCCTCCAGATGGGCATCTGTAGGATCCAATTTTCAACACAGCTTTTTTCAAATGTCCTAAGTATTCTTGCAACAATTTTCTAAATAATGTGTTAAAAGATGAAGATTTTCCTGCCTGTATTAACCAATGCATACCATTTTACAGAAAAGCTAAGTTAGGATTTGCTATTGTCAGAACAATGAGACATAAACTCAGGACACTTTTATCAGAGAGCTACAAGATTAACTGTCGCTATAAACAGTGACTTAAAGAGTTCACCACTGTTATTCAAATGAGGATTGTCTCTGTTATGGTTTCAGAGAAAACAAGGTGTTATTTTTTTTAATTATTATTTGATGAATCTAAGAAACAAGTGTCAAGCAGTAAAGTGTGGAATGGCTAAATTGAGCAGATCAGAAGGAAACTTGATCTATTATAACCTCAGCAGATAAGAAAACAGTCTGAGAAAGCACTGCAGCAAGCACATTAGTGTTCAGGAGCCTCTTCCCAAACTCAATTACTTGGCTTCTTCTCCAGATCTTGTATGTAGCATTCTCCCTTTTATTCCTGGCCTACTCACACAATGCTCTTTCTAGTAGATCTTAAACAATACCTTTCACTTCAGAGGGTATGTCTGATGTTCGCTCTTTTAACTAGCATTTTGTCATAAAAAACACGTAACTATGCAGACTATGGAGGTAAGCCTTAATGACATAGCTACACCAAGGAAAAAGCCATGGGTAATTGGACAGTAGAGGTGCAGTGTCCTGCACCATGCACACATGTTACACCGCACTCAGTCTCCTTACCTTCACTGATTTTCTGAGCAATAACCATGGCAATAAGCATGGCACCTGTAGCTTGTAGCTTGTAGCTAGCAGGAGCTCTCATTCCTGATGGAAACATTCAGGATAAAAAGGACAGGGTACAAAGGCAAGTGACACTTAAAAAGCAACTACCACTCATTTAGAAGATGAACACCTAACAACCCTTAGTACCAGTAATGGTAAGGCAACATCATCAGCCAACAAAACTAAGGGCAAGAGTGGCAAAGCCTCTTTCACAAATGACAGCTAAGAGGAAAGGACTTCTGGTATCCTTTGGTTACCAGTCTCTACAGAGATTAATATCTAGAGATGGCTACTGAGATGGTTTTCAAATTGTAACTGTTGTTGTATCTTTTTCACTGTCCTTGTTTACAGCAGTGATGGCTTCCCTAGAAAAACACTACCAAACTTGTATGACAAAATTTGAAGAAGTGTAACAATTGTAGTTACAAAGCAATAGCTCAGCATGTTAATTAAGCAATTTTGTTTCTAAGAAAAGCAACTCAGGAAATATGTCAGATATTTAATTGCAATTATTAGTGTACTGGCAAATTAGAATAAGATAGTTTTGTTGTCAAAGGCTTAGTAACAGAGAGAGGTGTCAACACTTTCTTGTCAGAGAAGTCCATCCTGCACAAAGGCAGTATTGAGAGAATATTCAAGGCTTCACTACCTCCTCCGCACTTCATTTGATAGAATGATTGGCTGTTATGCTTCTGTAACCTGTTTTCTGCAAAAGCCAGTAGCTGGTTCATCACTAAAGTTACATTAACAAAGACAAGTACCTGCAGCTGGTTTTTGCTGTTGTTTTTTAAAGGAAAAGATCTTTGTTCTTTGCCTGACCTCATTCAGATAGACAACAGTTAATGTTTCCATTAGCACAGCTGTATGAGTCATTTCACACAAACAATCCACCACTTTAAAGGGCAGGCACCAGACAGGGAGATATAACAACAGAATTTTATCTTAGGCAAAGAGAAATACTGTTGGTACCTACTGGGAATAAGAATAATGTAACAGGGAATGAGAATAATGTGAATGCAATAAAAATCTGACAGTAGCACATAAAATAATGTCAGTGTTACAATCTGAAGAAAACTAAAAATTGAAAGAAATTGTTCCAGCCTAAGAGGAGATACCTTAAGACTCCCACAAGCATATGAAAATGATGACTTGTTTGTGGGTTATCAAATACTATCAGTACATCCAGCACTTTGAACAGTATAGGGCAACCCATCCTCAAGGCAGATCAATGTAAAAGTCAGGACTCATGATTACAAAGTTAACTTCATTGTCCAAGTTGTACTTACTCCTTGGAGAACAGAACTTGGGGGTAGAGGGTAACAAGGGTAGCAATCCAGCTAAAGTATATTTTCATGTGATCTGCTATACCTAACACTAGAATAGAATTATTTCATAGACATGTAATGCCAAAAGCTCTGGCTTTAGGTGGAGGGAAAACAAAACAAAACAAAACAAAACAAAAAAAAAAACACCAACAAAACTAACAAACCAATAGGTAAAAGAGAGGGAAATTAATTACCCTGTGGGCAAAATATCTGAACACAATAAAATCAATGTAAAAAGAACAGGCTGGATAATCTAGACATAGAAAATGATGACTCAGAACTGAAATTGGTTCAGATCAGTCTCTATTTCTGACAGCATTTAGATGTTTTAAAGTATTAGCATTGCTAATGCTAAAAGGGACTGCCACAATGTCAGCAGATGTTGGACTTATGTGGTTTGTGATTGACCATCAAATACAAAGGGTATTTTTGCTAAAACAAATATCTATCCTATAATTATGCATCTTTGAAGTATAAAATTTTCACAAAGTAGAAATATCTTCATTTAAGTTTGTTTTCACATCAGGTAAATGTAAATGCAAGAGATTACTTGCACATTTTTTTATGAGGAATGTTTCTATTATAAATGTTATTATTGGCTTCTAGCTGATGTCTGTACCTAAACCTCATGGGCAAGTTCCTCAGCGTTCGATGTAACAAATCATATACCTTTCTTTATTTTATATGAGTACTACCCCTCTAACTGCACTACATCAGAGCTATCATCCAAAAACAAGATTGATTCAAATCAATGTCAGCTTGTCTGATGGTTTGATAGACTTCAATTCAAACTCTGGTTAAAAATCTAGCAAACTGTATGGATTTGGAACTCGTGCAGTCAACTAACTCTGTAAGAAAGGTTTTCATGATCTAAAACCAAGATGACAGTACAAAAAGTAAACAACACAAATAGCTTTGAAAATTTTATGATCTATGAATGCCCAAAGGACTAACATAAACAAAAAAAACAACAATAATCACATATAAACATCACTTGGGAAGGGGATCTACTAATTCATCTTTACTTACCTACCCTTATTATCTGTAAGTGTAAATTGGTATTATAACTTCCAATTCCCATAGTAATACCTAAAGTCTCAACAATAGCATAAAGTCTACAAATGCTTAGACAGCAAATGGTTTTTATCCATACTACGATATCTTCAGGACACAGTATTGCCATACAGTGCCTATTACTGCCTACATAATTTTCCATTCAGAAAAATAATCTATAGATCTGTCCCAATCCATCTTTGTATGAGATAGAAACGTAGAGAGAGAGCAGAAGAAGAATCACAGTATATCTTTTACTTACTGCAATTTCTTTAGAAGGTGTAAGTGACTCAACAATACAAGTAGCACTGGAAAGTGATGAAAATTTTTTCTCACTGCTTGTAGACAGGAACAGCTGTGGTTTGATTTTCAAACTGCATTTAAAACCTGAAACAGACAGGGACAGTAACATGGTCATGAGATTTGTAAATTGGAAACCTACGATGAAAACATAGTCACAAACAAGACGACCATTAGGAAATCACTGAGATACTCCAATAATCTCGTCAAAAATGATCAGATAATTAAACGTATTGTAAAAGACAGCAGAAACATATGGGCTGTGATTATGGCAATGAGTTTGTCTCTTCCAGAATCAGTATTAACCTCTGTAAGTGGTAATCAACTGTTGAAATGAATCCAGGTATACTCCAAGAAGTCTGTAAAACTGTCAGTAGTATAAAAATTCAAGCTGACTTTCGTATTCATCACATTTTCCTGTCTGTTTCAGATGTTTTCATACAATATGAAAACAAAAAGCACAACAAAACCAGAAAAGAATAGATCAAATTTGTCATTTATTTTTTCTTGCTCTGGTTACACCTGAGAAGCTTCTTACAACATCCCTATTTTAACCCTGATTTCAGAAACACTGTGTAGAATGTGAGCACTACCAATGGCCAAAGACGAACAGATTTTTAGTCTCCTGAGTAAGCACAGATACACTGATTAATTCAATTTCTGATTTGCTGATTTAAATTGCTCATCTGACATCTCCTACACTCACTTGCAAATAGCACTGCATTTCAATCTTGAATCAAAGAATTTTCTAGCATGCTTTTGGTTGCATCTGGAACAAAACATTACTGTAAAAAACATTTCTTTCTGTATTGGAAAGCATTAGGATGTCATATCAAAGAGCATGTAGTTAGCTATTCAGTAAGCTTCATCAGCATATGTGTAAAAAGAAATACTATTTCAATGGATTTACAGGACAAAAATTCCTTTAAAAGTGATTCTGATTGTTACTTAAGAGCATTCCAATAGTGGAAGCAACTAGAAACAGTCTTCCTATTTACCAAAATTGTTAAGGATTTTGAAGGTCTTTACTTGGTCATTGATAAGTGAAACAAAATAGAGAGACGGGGAAATTGGTGGAAAAGACATTGATTTAGGAGTTAGTCTCAGAATCAAAGCAGTGGCATGATAAGAAAATGTAAAAAGTGTGAAGTTTGTGACATGGAATGAGTAAAATGAGCTTTCTGGGTCTCCCTAGTTCCTTGCATGTGTTCGGATATCAAAAGGCAGAAAACAAGATGTGTTTTTCTCTTACTGTTTGTCTTGATGCTTTCCTGTTGCTCTCTTTTCTAAGCCTTTAAATTGTAATTACTTAGAGTAATCTTTTCAATTATTTTATGCAAATTGTTCTTTTAGAACAGTATACACGGATTGCCAATACAATTACAGGGCAATAAGAAGAATGCTACCCCTTCCCAAGAAACAGGAACTGAGAAAGCAAAAGAGATGTTTTCATGCTTTATGCACATATTTCTCCATTAACTGAGGCAAAGCCTGTACGATTCCTTCCTGAAATGGTTGCAGCAGCAGGATCTTTGACCAATGATCTGAAGTCAGTTAATGCCTATTGAACAAAATGCATGGTAATTTATCGGGTTCATGTAGCTATTGGACAGAATTCTAATAATCCTTAGAGCTTAACTGTTAATTAGAGATATATCCTGTATTATGTAGCAGAGTAATAAAGGTTCCAGATGCCTTGTTGCTCTTCAATCAGATTGTGCCATCAGAACTCCAGAAAGACAAATATTTCTGTTTTTATCCTCTCAGACCCAACCTGTGGATGATTCTAGATGTGTGCAAATCTCTGAAGATTTCTTATGTAAAGGTTTTTGCTTTTTTTTACAGATACATGGCCATTATTGATCCCTTGAAACCAAGGCTCTCTGCAACTGCTACCAAGGTGGTCATTGGGAGCATATGGATTTTGGCTTTCCTGTTGGCCTTTCCCCAGTGCCTCTACTCTATAACCAAGGTGATGCCTGGGAGAACTCTGTGCTATGTAGCATGGCCAGGCGGTCCAAAACAGCATTTTATGTAAGCATTTTTCTTTTAAACTTCTGCATGGCGATGCCTATACTTGAAATGGATACTACTAGTAGTTATTTTGTATAACAGCACTGAGAAAGTCAAAGCAGAATTGCTAAGCTTGGAAGATAGTTCATTTAAATGACAACTGGAAGAAAATATTCTCTTCCTCGAGTGTTTTTCATTCCATGCTGCAATGTTTACTATCACTGCTTCACTTAAGATGGCTACTTCTATATAACAAAGTTGGTCAGAAATGGGAACAGAATATACAATTCAAACTAAGCTTATTGTTTATCTTAATGAGTAAAATGGTATTTCCAGCCTCTCCTTGTCACAATCAGATTTTTCTTCTCTGGTTCTATTCAAAAAGGATCAGGTTTCTGCACTTCATCCTGTTATGCTGTCACAAGTACGTATCTCAGGTCTGAGCTGGAATAAGAAAACTTTAAAATCTGTAATTCCTTCCACATTCTGAAAGTGTGAAGCAACAGCCAATTAAACTGGATGTATCTTGTTTGTCCCGCTGGCAGAATTAGGAATAAGTGGCTACCTAGCCATATAAACATTATGTCCCTGTTCAGATCCTCATTGGTATTTAAGATGAACTCTCTGTCCAAGGTTGAAAACCTGCATAGCCATACAGCATCAAATTTGACCTTTTGCCTTCCTTCAGGCAGGTGAAAACGGCTCTGATCATATATGATTTTGATCACTGTAGGAGCCACCTACAGGTATTTTATCTTTGGGGCAGTAAGTTCACTCTCAGTGACAACTGGGAATTCTTTACTGATCATTCAATGGGATTTTATGTGACAATGACATTTAACAAGGATCTAGCAGGAGGCAAAATAAGTTATCTTTTTTTTCCCCAGAGCTCACATTGTCAGAGATGACTATGTTTCTCATAGGCAACAGAGGGGCCATATGAAGTACAAATACAAAGGATGCCTTTGTATAAAGACAGTATTTAAATACAGCATTTCTACTTTCATTTCTGGTGCGGATTAGAACTCAGAAACCTTCGCTTGCTCTTAGGACACTTGACCATGCAATAAATAAATCAATTCAGCTAGTTATGGACAAAAATACCTCATTCTGAAGTCATGAATCAGTATTACTGTAGAGTCATTCTCGATTTTACTAGAACAAGTTCAGAATCACAGCTAAAGATCCTAAAGGCACTTGCACTAGAATGGAAATAAATATGCAAGATACTTGAAAAAGACAGTGAATGCACCAAGGGCTGCCTCATCAATATAAAGCACACTTCTCATAACAATAGCACTCTCCTTCTAGCAGCCCATTCCATCACCTCTGCAAGCATTTACCAGCCTAATGCTTTTTCATTGCAGGTATCATGTCATTGTGATTGTGCTGGTCTACTGTTTTCCACTGCTTGTCATGGGCATCACTTATTCTGTAGTGGGAATTACCCTCTGGGGAGGAGAAATACCAGGTGACACATCGGACAAATATCATGAGCAGCTCAAAGCTAAGAGAAAGGTACTGTTCCATTAAACCTCACTAAGTGACTCTTAATAACATCACCTGTAATTGTACTGTAAAGTACTGTGGTATTCTCTTTCACAAACACAAAGGCATTTGAAATCAGAGTAATGAGACTGACTTCAGTTTTTTAAAAAAGACAAGTTTTCTTTTAAGTTCACCAGTTGGCTTGTTGTTTTTTTTTTTTTTTTTTTCTCTAACTTCACTGCTCTTCATTACATAAAGGCAACATTTGGATGTTAACTTCTTATTCCATATATAGTGCCTGGTAAGTGTGTCTGATATGAGGAAATTAAACCAAATTGTTTAGCCTTTATAGACCTAAAATACTGAGTTTTGAACCAGTGGGCTGGCAAACCATTAACTCCCATGGGTCAGATTCTCACTCTACTGAAAAAATCAGTGAATCTTATTGCAATTTTTAGATTAGGAATGGCAGATAAGCCTAGACATCTTCACAGTATGATATTCAGTGTTTCCCATGACACCAGAGGTAGGTGGGGCTTTGGGGGGGCTTTATGTACCTCTTTCAGGAGGGCAAAACGTTATCTTCTCTTAAGGAAGTGAGTACGTTTTGACTGCTATTGTACTGTGATAGCTCCAAGATATTCTGGAATGTGAACTGAGAGGAAATAATGGAAAAATAATCAATATGCTTTGACTATCTGCCTCCAGGTTAAATTATTGGATTTGTTTCCAGAAATGCTGAAAGCATTTCAAAACATCAGCATTTCAGTCTTTAACATTATCCATTCAGTGTCCCACTTTATTATTACTGTCTTTGCTGTGCATGTTGTTTCTTACCCACAGGTGTATGTTCAAAGTTACAAGATGTTCTTTCCTGCAGAACGGAAGCAGGAATTGGTTTTGCTGTCAGTTAACTGGGTTATTATCAATAAAGGCCTTCCAGCCTTAGAAAAAAGGAAGAAATATTCCGGGAAGCATATGTGGGTGAAGTGACATATGACCTTGTATAGCAGATATGGTTTACAAAAGCAAGTACCGAAAAAATTATTTAAAGCAGTAACTTGGAAAAACAGATCTTATAATAATTGAGTAAATTAAACACCTCATTTCATACACACCAAAGGCTTTTATAGACAAAAGCTGGCTTCTACTGTATGCTAGGAAGAGTTCAATTAAATCACTCAAATAGTTTAAAAATAGCACTCTAGTTATATGCAAGAAAAGGAATCCTTGATTAAAGCATTTTAAATGTGAGAGCACTTCACGTCTTCAACACATGCAAAAATGGGCATCCACTTTGTGCAGACACATTTGTAACTTCATCAGTGCATTAACCGACAGAGCTCCATGACATCTTCAGTTCTACTGCTGCGCTCTCCAACAGGATTTATGAAATGATTTATGTTTGGAAAAATGAATCATAATCAGTCACAGTGATAAACTAATAGACTAGAATCCAGATAAAACTATCCCTCAGCCAGCTTCTGGTAACAAAGCTATTGCTTTCTCTTTATTCAAACAACGAAACTATCTGTTTTTCCTGCTATTTAGTATGCAGCTATCTCACTACAAGGGAAGACTGTATT